CTATGAGACAAGCGTGCTAAGCACTCCACAAAGAATTTAGTCTCTTTATGGGGCCTCAGTAGCACCAAAGAACTCCCAAGTGAGCGACTTAGGGGGCATTTAAATGGGAATGACATAGGTATGTGGAGAGGAAGGGACGAGAGGGCACCCAATTAGAGCAGAGGTCTAATGGTTTGCTGTTCAAGTGGGCATTAAAGTTTCCATGCTGCTGGTTAAAAAAAGGGAATTTCTCCTTATGTCCTGCCAACCATTCCCTGGTTTACAGTAGTCTTACAATAGTCTTATGGGAGACTTACATTAGTCTTGCGATGGTCTTACAACATAATACAGTTAACAGGTATATAGTGTCTTTCACATTGGGAGGATGTTTCAAAGCGTTTTACATCGCTCGCTGAGTGGGAAAAATCCTGGCCCCCAGTGACCGGTTTGCCCCTCCAAGTCCTGCTGATGAGCCAGGCTTGCTGTGCTATCATCGGCAGTGTCTTAAAATTCTGCGGACCTGCCTGACTCAGGAGCCGACTACTGAGACCTCATAGGGGTGGACTGAATTCTGACATTTTGTTGTCAATCACGTCACCTTGGAGTCAGTTCACCTCTGAGAAGAGATCTTATCTCCCCTCCTCACTTATTTTCCTCCTCCCTTCCCCCATGGGAGCTCTGGATTTGATAGCACTGAAGACGGAACAAATTGCTGTTAGTTAGAATCATTGAAGTGGTGAACGGAGGCTGGCTGACTGGGGTTCCTGAAATAAGACTCATTATTTGCAGATGTGTTTACAATTAAGTGTTCCATTCCTCGTCGTAAGCTCGAATGAGCCTTGATTAGAATTTAAGTAAAGTTGTTGAGAAACTTTCCTTCTCTGGAGAACGTTAAATCTACAAGCACACAGCAGGATGGAGATTTTAGAACAGCTCTTTGAAGCTTTAATGAAGGATTCAGAACAGAGAGAGAGGGGGGGATTAAAGAATTTGGTTTGTGGGCACAAATCATGCATTATATGGCTTAATTGAAAGAGAGGATGTATTTTTTTCCACATTCAATGATAACGCCTGTGACTCAAAAGTACTTTTTTTACAAATTTCATTGGGGCAGGGATTCTTTCCACTAGGCTTCTGTTAACCCAGCAAGCCTAAACCCTATCACACAGGGTAGTTCTAGATGGACAAGCAGAAGGAAAGCATGCCAGACATTGAAAGGTTCTCAATGGCACGCTATGTGGCTTGAGCTTGTTAGATTCCAGCAGTTATCCCCATTGCACAATCTGGGATCCCTAAGTCTTGGCTTTTGCCAACCTGCACAATATTATCTGCAGAATTAGGTTATCAGGGTGTGTTCTTCAAACCCAGCATCCAGGTTCACTCACTCGGTTTTCCCACCGCCCTGGCCCGCCTATGAATGAACTTTCCCTCTAGCCGGCTGAGACCCTCATCCACACCTTCATCACATCCAGTTCCACCACCTCAATCCCTTCCTTCCTATCTTAAGACTCCTACCTTGCTGTCGGACCCTTTTCCCTCCTCCCCTCAACAAGCCCCCCCCACCCCCACCCCCCACCACCACCCCAAATACTCCCATGCTGTTTGCCGTGTACAAGTTGGCTACTGTGTTTGCCCACAAAATAAACAGTCACTACAGTGAATCCTTGTGAAGTGCTTTGATATGTCTCAATGATGTGATAAGGCACAATATCAAATGGACATATTATTATTACTATCAATATAAGCAACTGTTTTGGGTTTGGTTTAAGTCAGTGACGTTTTGAAATGTACACTGTTCAAACCAATTGATGTACCAGGCGTTGCTGCCACATAGACGATACTCTAGCACAGCCTGTCGAGCATTGTAGCAAACAACACAGATGCGTTATGCATAATGCACAAAATAATAAGTGATAAAAAATACTTGCATTTAATTTGTGGCTCATTGGTAAGTTTCAGATCTTACTGAACATGAATATTGATAGTGTGTGCTACCAAACAATATTTGCTTGGCATAAGGTTCAGTAAATGTCTAAATAAAAGTAACTTTGTGAGCTTACGTTTCACACCTCTTCTCTTCCCAAGGTTCCCTACAGTCATAAATAAGAATCCTTGCTTTTGACACAATGACTTATCACATACGATGGACACAATGACTATAAAATATAGTATCTGCATTTCACAGTACACCTTGTGAAACATTTTGAGACATGATGAGGCTTTGCATAAGGCAAGGATTATTATTTTGTCGTTGAACGCCACAGCACCACAGCAATGTCCCACACACAGCCATGATGTGTGTGACCAATTTTATCTGGGATTGTCGGCCAGGGCACCAGGGGAGAGAAATTCCTTTCTCTTTTCCAATAGCGCAGCAGGATCTTAACATCCACCTGAGCAGGCACAGATGGGTTTAATGTGTCATCTGAAGGGCAGCTCCACCAAGTGTGTAGCGCTCCCCACAGCACAGCACTGGAACGTCAGCCTAGACCAGAGGTTAGTATTAATCCTTGCATTTGATATAGTGCCTTATCATGTCTTTGAGATGTTTCAAAGTGCTTCACAGCATATATTGTAAAGTAAATTGACTATATTTTGTTGGCGAAATGCAGCAGCCAATTGCGCACAGCAGCGTCCCACAAACAGTCGTGGAATGAGTGACCAATTGTTTTTTTTTGAAGGGATTATTACCCCCTGAAAAGCGAACTGCCAATTTACTAACAACTGGGTTCCTACTTACTGCTAGGTAAACAGAGGCGTGTGGAGTAAGGAAACTTACCAAACATTTCGTCCTGCTGGGAATCGAACCCTGGTCTCTCGCTTGCGAGGCGAGTGTTCTAACCACTGAGCTACAGGACTCGGGTTCTGTAGGTTCTCAAACCATGGGGCACACCTCCCTGACAACTAAACCCCACGACAATGTTTTCTGCAATAACCAAATGTCCTGACAACAATCCCCACGTCAACAGTGGGTGGGGAGGAGACATTCAGACTGATTGACGGGTGCGGACCTATGGCACTCCCTGTTCTGAAGCAGGTTGGACTGATGGTTATCATCCCGCACAATCAATAATAATAATAATAATAATCCTTGCATTTGATATAGCGCTTTTCTCGTGGGAGGACGTCCCAAAGCGCTTCACAGAACACACTAAAGTGAATTGACTGTATATTTGTGGGCGAATAATTGTTTGGTGTTATGAATTTCAAAAATTTTGTGCAGTTTTATTTTAGCTGCTGCTATTTGTACTCTTTTTGAACAGAAACCTGAGATAGCATGAAAGGCTTTATGGAATAACATTTGTACTTTTGACTTTCATACTCTTGTCATAAATATATTGATCAAAGTCCTTCTATTTTATCACTCGTATCCCTGCAACGTATAAGTTTTTTCAGTTATTTGTGCTGTCTCAGTAAACTATGGGAGGCGCAATTGTGGTATTTTTCTTAGCTTTCTGGCACTCACTATCACAAAGTTTGAGAATCTGGTCTGGATGATATGCGTTTCAAGTCCTGACATAGGGGCTTGAACCTTCAACCTTCTGACTCTGAGACAACAGTGTGACCGACTAGCAAGGTTGATATGCCGGAAGATATGCAGAGTTCCCTCTTTTTAAGAGTGGCCCTCACTCTCGCCAAGCTTTGGTGTGTCGGCTTGGCTTAGTGGTAGCACTCTTACCTCTGAATTAGGAGGTTGTGGGTTCAAGCCCCAAGTCGGGACTTGGAATCACACAGTATAAATTGACACTCCAATGCAGTGCTGGAGATGTATTGCATTGTTGGAGGTGCCGTCCTTCAGATGAGACGTTAAACCGAGGTCCCGTCTGCCTGTTCAGGTGGATGTTAAAGATCCTGTGGCACACTTTTTGGAAAGGCTAGTTTCTCTCTCCTGTTGTCCTGGCCAATAAATCCCCCAAATAAAATTGGTCATTCACTCCCTGGCTGTTTGTGGGACACTGCTGTGTGCAAACTGGCTGCCGCGTTTTGCCAAGTCAATTCACTTTACAGTATATCCTGTGAAGTGCTTTGAGACATCTCGATGGTGTGATAAGGAACAAGGCATATTAAGACTTATACCTCAGTAGTTCCCACTAATGCCCTTTGAAATACAGTGTAAGCAATCCTGGCGCCTGTCACTCACTGTCACCTCCTGTGTCGCGGCAGGACACAAACTGCGCAGCGCCATGTCACAATGAGTGGATGTCCACAGGTGAACAAGGAGCTGATGATAGATGGTGACAGATGAATGCCAACCGAAATTCCTCCTTCAGATGAGAAGTTAAACCGAGGTCCTGTCTGTGCCTGGATTTACTGATCCCAGGGCACTACTGGAAAAGAGAAGGGAGTTTCTCTCTCTCAGTCTTGGGCAACAATCTCCCAGACAAAATTGGTCACTCACTCCATGGCTCAATTGTATAATAATAATCCTTTTCCATTTGATATTTCGTCTTATCACATTGTTGAGACATCTCAAAGTGCTTCACAGGATACACTGTAAAGTGCAGTGACTGTGTATTTTGTGGGCGAAATGCAGCAGCCAAATTGCACACAGCAACGTCGCACAAACAGCCATGAAGTGAGTGACAAATTTTATCAATTTTCGGCCAGGTGATCAGGAGAGAGAATCTTCTTTCTCTTTTCCAACAGTGCTGTGGGATATTTTACATCCACTTCTCATCCAAAGAATGAGAAGCACACACCAGCACTGCACTGGAGTGTCAACCTTGACTTCACATAAACCCTGTGCTTATGGTCACCTCCTCCCTCCCCCTCCCTCAATTATATTATTATTATATTATTATTATTATATAATTGAGCCATGGAGTGAGTGACCAATTTTGTCTGGGGGATAAAGGCAAGTTGTTGTTTTCGTTGTTGTTATTGTGAAGCTCTCAGCGTGTATCAATTGCAAGGATTTGCATTAACATTGAAGGGCACTGTCATGGGTTTGGATGTGCAGGCCCTGCTCTCCCTGACTATTATCCCGTTCTGATCTCACCTTCTCTCTTTCTCTCTTACAGATGAAAAGCCAGTCTCACTGTCACCCTATGAAGCCCCAGCTAACAGCCCCCGTTACGCGTTCAGTCAGAGGGAGCGGCAGGCGCTGGAGGTTCGTGTGCGAGAGGTGGAGGAGGAAAACCTGTCCCTCCGCAAGCAGCTCAGACTGGCTCAGGACCACGCCCGGGGGCACAGCAACCACTCCAAGACCTACTCTCCCGAGGAGGGCACCGGCGACACCGAGGTGGCAAGGGCATTGGCCTGGAACGGCTCCGAGTGCGGCAAGCAACCTGCTGTGGAGAAATGCGAGGTGAGTGTGACTGTGTCCGTCACTGCCATCCACGGCTTCAGTGTCTCACAGTGAGGTGCAGGAATCAATATGTATATCATCCCCAATGCTTCTCGCTTCCCATCTCCATTGGCTCCTCATCCGTGCTCCCCATCTCCACTGGCTCGTCGCTCCCTATCTCCACAGGCTCCCTATCCGTTCGCCAACAAGTGGAAACAGCCTATTAGCATCCACCTTATCAAATCCTTTTATCATCTTAAACTCCTCGATCAAGTCCCCTCTCATTCGTCTCACCTCGGAGTGAAAAACTTCAACCTGTCCAATCTTTCCTGATCAGCTTTCCTGAGCTGGATCCTCTGATTGCTGTAAATCTACACTGTGCTCTCTCCAATCCTGCAATATCCTTACCTTTCTTTCAAAACGCATCGCTTTCCCATCCCACACAGCCTGGAAGGCGCTATTTCAACATAAGCTGTATTATTGCTTTTGGATGCTTGTGTTGAACAGCGTTTGCCGCATGTTGTTTTTGCAGACGATCCACGTTGCCATTGTGTGCGCGGGATACAACGCTAGCCGTGATGTGGTGACCCTTGTGAAGTCTGTTCTCTTTCACCGGTACGTATTTGCCAGCCTCTGCTGCTCGCGTCGCACTGGGTTCCTCTCGTTTCAGCCTCGTCTGCTTCATGATTGCAGTCTGAGAGACTGTTACATTTACACAGTGCCTCTCGCCTGATTAGCACAGCTCAAAGCGCTTCACAGAATCACTTGGGATGGGAGCGGGGGACTGAGGAAGGGTCGGGGATCAAAAGCACTATTGAGAACAAAGGTTTTAAGACAGGCTTTGAAGGTGAAGAGGGAGGTGGTGAGGAGGAGGGACTCTGGTATGGAGTTCCAGAGAGTGGAGGCTGAATGGCTGAAATCCCGCCCGCCAAGAGTGGGGTAGATTGCGAGGTGGTGTGGCGGAGACATGAAGCATAGCTGGGCAAATGGAGAGGCCGAGGGGTAAGGATTATTCTGGGCTCGTTCCAGTCTGAACCCCAGTAAAACGTTGGAGCACATTGGCTTCTCATCTCACCGCTATCCTCAGGACGAAGAGCTGCCGCCGATTGTCTGAACGGCCATGTTGGCTTTGTCATTCGTGAATTGCGTAATGCAAAGCGCTTCAAGGCTTTCCACTGATGCTAGAGGTGCCATGGAGATGTATTTCAGGGTCTGACTCTGCCTCAAGTGCAATCTCAGCCTGATCCAGTGTTTATCCCCAAGATTTGCCACAGTCAGTCCTCAGAGACATCCCGAGTGACAGGCGTTCTGTAAATGTAAATCGCTGCTCATTTTAATTGGGTCACTGGCTGCCTTCACACACCACATAAAGATTGAGTGAAGAGTGCCACTGGCAGAAGAGCACGTCTTCTACAACAACAATAATAACAATAACAATAATAATCACAATAATACAGATAGGACAGTCATCTGTGACGGACCAGATATAAACAATCAAGTAAATAGTACATCTAGTATTATTGATGTGTTTACCACAAAGTGATTACAACATAAAAAAAGTAACGAGAGAAGATCAAGAAATATATCGATCTTGATTGAATCAAAATTGAATGTGTATGTATGCAGCAGTATAAAACAAACGTAGAACCTATAATCATCGGAGCAACTGGGACTGTTAATAAGATTATTCAAAAATGCTTTGACAAAATACCTGGTGAACAAAGTATCAACATCGTGCAAAAAGTAGCTATTTAAGGAAGTTCAAATATATTAAGAAAGTAACATCCATTCATGTGTACCATTATTGGTCTGGCTGACCATCACTGAAAAACACTTACCGAGTGATTTAAACTTTAATAACTCAAGAAGAAGAAGAATCCTTGGATTTGACAAAGCGCCTTTCACATCAGGACATCTCTTTTCGAATACTGGATCTTTCACGTCCACCTGATCAGGCGCGGAAGGGTCCTCAGTTTAACATCTCATCCGAAGAACGGCACCTTGACAATGCAGCACTTCTATTATGAACTGTAGTGACTGTATAATTTGCAGACAGACTTGGCAGGCAATTTGCACATGGTGATTGCCTGCAAACAGAATTACTGTGAATTAGTCTGAATGGCCGCTCTCTGCTCATCTGCCACGTGGCAGTGTTAGACAGTAAAAACAGCATGAAACACAGTTTAACACTGCGGTGCGCTCTTGTTCGACGGACTCGCTTCCCAGCCTAGCTGACAGATGCAGAGCGTGCTGTGTGATTGGCCTTGGTGTGAGCTGCAGAGGCCAACATGTGAACAGAGATTCTTATTGTTCTCTCTGTCACTTGTTCCCAGGCTGGCCTCTGGAGAAACCATCAATGAACAGCGCTTTGTCTCCTCCCCTTCCCTCGCCCTTTCTAAATGCAGTGTCAGTCAGCGGCATTTTTCAGGATGCAATAATGAGAAAAATAATAGTGAAGTGTAAAGCGTGTGAGACTGTCACCCCTATCTCACTTGGCTCCCCATTTCCTGGTGGATCGAATTCAAGATCAAAACACACAGTCACTCCACTTTACAGTATATCCTGTGAAGCGCTTTGAGACATCTTGATGATATGATATCAAATGCAGGGATTATAATTATCCTCCCATAGCCTTGTGGCACTCCGCTCTCCGGATCTCCATCCTGGAGTCCCTCTTGTCTCATTCCCCCCCCACTTATAATATTAATCCTGAATGTGGTGTAGCACCTTTCATGTTGGGAGGTTGAGCCGATCACCCCTATCTTTACTTGCTCCCCATCCCCCAGAGGATCGAGTTCAAGATCCTTGTCCTCATCTTTAAAGCCATCCATAGTCTTGCTCCACCCTACGTCTGCAACCTATTAAATATTTACCTGTCTACTCCCTCCTGCTCCATGGCTCCCGCCCTGCCACTATCAGCGGTAGGCACCTCAGAATTTCTGCACCCACCCTCTGCAAATACATCTTGGAGCCCTTCCGCCTTGCTCCCTCCCTCATCTTCTTCAAGGCTCGACTCAAGATCTTTTTGGACAGTGCCTGCAGTTATCTTCCCTCCTCCATTCCCCTTGCCCTTCACCCCTCTCTGATGCCCCGCATGGGTCCAAACTCCTCATTGTTCAGCGCTTTGGGATGTCCTCCCAATGTGAAAGGCGCCATATAAATGCAATTTGTTGTTGTTGCAGTGACTGTGTATTTCATAAGCGAATGCAACAGCTTAATTTGTGCACAGCAATGTCCCACAAACAACCACAAAGTGATTGATCAGTATCCTCTGAGGATTGTCGGCCAGGACACCGGGAGAGAGAATCTCCCTCTTCTTGCAGCAAAGTGGCCTGAGGTTTAACGTGAGCCACATAACTCGTGTACCAGAATACACAACTGGCAAGGAGATAAACCGTATTCAGATATTGCCAGATGTTTGTGGGGGAGACAATATTAAGTCCTAGCTCACTGATTCGGTTATGGATTTATTAGAGATGTGATAAACTCGCACCAGGCCTGCCAACAGGTCACAAAATCACCTGGCAGCAAAAAATAGAGCGACTCAATGCAGGCTGAGAATAATTTACTTGGAACTCAGTGCATGATATTTCTCTATTACTTAAATCTTCCCTGCAAATAATATTGGCTGGCAACATAGTTTTATTTATGTGTCAGCTTGGCTCAGTCAGTTGCAATCTTGTCTCTGAGGCAGAAGGTTGTGGGTTCAAACTGACATTCCAATGCAGTGCTGGGAGTATGTCACATTGTTAGAGGTGGCGTCCTTCGGATGTGACGTTAAACCGAGGTCTGTCTGCCTGTTCTGGTGGACATTAAAAATACCGTCAATCCACTTTACAGTAGTGTTTAATGTCGTTCTTAAAATAAACTTAGAAAAATGGGTTCAATAGTAAGGCGTGTTTAAGAATTTGACAAATCCAGGAAGCTCCAAAATGCTCCCAAGAAGTGAGCGAGAGACATTGACTCGGAGCAGTTTTGTCTGCCTGACAACCAGCCTCATTCATTCATTGGACTGGGGGAATGTCTGCCCACTCACTGCTTCTTCGGGTTATTGTCCTGGAGAACATCAGTGAGTGCAGCTGACATACGTTCTGACTGGAACAAGTGAAAACCTCCGTGACATGGTCCTTTGCAAGCGAAGGAGGAGAGGGAGCCCTTGAGGACTGTAGGAAAAGAGAAAAGGACGTGTGATCGAACACTTGTCCATAATGCGGAAGAGATTGCCACGAGCAAGCGTTCCCCTTTCCATGTGTTCTGCCTTCCCTGGAGACGTTTCCCAGTTCAGAAGCTTCATACAGAGTGAAACTAAAATATCCCGTTGCTCATTCCCATCAACGTAGGTGAGTGGACGAGTCAAGTTCTACTCAGATTACCGCCCCACCCTAAAAAGTTCCACTGAGATTACCCACCCCACATCTTACAGTAAATCCTGTGAAAGGCTTTGTGATGTCTTGGTGATGTGTCAAATATGAGGATTATTATTGTTACGTTTGGTCTTTTTGTTTCTGCACAGGAGGAACCCTCTTCACTTCCACATCATCACCGATGCCATTGCCAAGCAAATCCTTAGCTATCTCTTTCAGACTTGGATGGTTCCTGCAGTGATTGTCAACTTTTACGATGCTGATGAACTGAAGGTGTGAACCTAACCTCTGCAAACCACTCTTAACTCGTGCCTTAATTCTCATGTAGAATCTTAAGATCTACCTCTTTGACCACGCTGCCTTTCCCTACTCCCTCCAATCCCCAACCTCACCCCCCCCACACACACACACACCCCACCCCGGCTCCCACTCTCAGTTTGGGTCCCAAACCAGGATTATCAAGAACCTTGGGCCATCCTCCCAACCTGAGAGACGCTGAATAAACATAAAATTGTATTGTATTGCTAATAAGAGTTTGCGTTTAATATTGCGCCATATCGAGATAGTTGGGTGCCGGGCGGTGGCAGAGGTAGGCAGAAGTTTAAAGTCTGAGACCATGGGGTCTCAGGGAGAGTCCCGATTGGAATGAATTATGATCCTTGTATTTCATACAACTTCTTTCACGCCATGCAGATGTCTCAACGCGCTTCACAAGATATATTGTGTCAACCTGGCTCAGAGGTAGTCGTCACCTTTGAGTCAGTGCTGGGGAGTGTACTGAACATTCCCCCAAATAAATAATAATAATAATAATAATCCTTGCATTTGATATAGCGCTTTTCACGTCGGGAGGACGTCCCAAAGCGCTTCACAGAACACACTGTAAAGTGAATTGACTGTATATTTGTGGGCGAACGCGGCAGCCAATTGCGCACAGCAATGTCCCACAAACAGTCATAGATTGAAAATGACCAATTTATTATTGCTATTTTTGAAGGGATTATTATTAGGCGTGTGGAGTAAGGAAACTTGCCCAAGGTTTCGCCCTGTCTGGAATTGAACTCAGGTCTCTCGCTTGCAAAGCGAGTGCTCTAACCACTGAGCTACAGGACTCCACGAATCAATCATGGCTGTTTGTGGGACATTGTGTTTCGCCCACAAAATACACAGTCAATCCACTTTACAGTATATATTGTAGCACCTTATCATGTCTGCCCCACAATCAGCTATGGTGTGCGAGCGACTGAGCCAGGTTGACATTGTCAGTGAAGCTGGTGGATGGGTGGGGGGAAAGAAAACAATAATAACAATGTAAAATTATTGTTCCATTTTCTACTCCAGTCAGAAGTGTCATGGATTCCAAACAAACATTATTCAGGAATATATGGACTCATGAAGCTGGTCCTCACTAAGACTCTACCTGCCTCTCTGGAGCGAGTCATTGTCTTGGATACGGACATCACCTTTGCCACTGACATTGCTGAGCTGTGGACTGTACTGCACAAATTCAAAGGTCTGTATCACTCTACTTCTCCTTATCAAAGCTCTACCTGCAGTTCTCTATGTGGACGATCAAAATAATCCTCCTCTCCCCCAACCTCCTCCCTTTGGGGCTGGGCTTGGTGTTGTGGTCAAGGTATATAAAATGATATATTATATATATTTATATACACAGAATATATATTGATACACAGTGGAAGCCGGTTAAGCCGGATGTATTGGGGACAGACATTTTGTCTGACTTAAAACGTATCCGAGGTTAACTGAAAAAGAGCTGTGGCAACGCTGTATAATAATATGGAATAATGTTGTTTCATCTGAAGCAATGTTAACTAACCAGTTAAAAGTCAAAATACTCACAGATTCGGTAAAATATATTTATCTTTGGCTGCAAATTATAGTCCAGTCTGACCCGACCAAATGAGGAGCAGTAGCGCTTCCTCTTTACCATTACCGTTCCCATTGGATGGGAAGGGAAGTAATTAGGGGCAATGCAGAGGTGATTGACAGCCTGGAGCTGCTTGTGAATGGCTGGACTCCACCCAATCACAAGCCACTCAGCTGTCAATTAATCCCTTGTTCTTCCCCGTTCCTCTTCAACCTCATTGATTGACAGCCCAACTCCAGCCGTTAGTGAATAGCTGGTTCAATCACAATGGCTCAATCACAATTTGACTCCTCGCATCTACATCCCGGAGTCCCTCGTGGTTGAATGGAGGCGCTCGACACACAGAAGCCTCGAGTGAGTACCTTCAGCGGCGACCATTTTGACCGGATTAACCAGATTTTCGTCCGAATTAGCAGGCATATTTAAACCAGGTAAGAGTCAAATGAATCGGGGCTGGGTGTTTTGTTCGATTTACCCGACGTCCTGGATTAACTGGCGTCCAGCAACAATGGATTCCATTTGTGTACAGATAAATTAGATTTAATTCAGATCAATATTTCAGGCCATACTAAGGCGGTCTAATAAGGTTTTGAATTGCAAAGGGCAATTTTAAGACAGCACCCAGACATTTAACTTTCCTCACAAGATCAGAAGATTAGTTTGGATGAAGAAAGCCCTTTGACCGATTTGATCTTATTACTCCAGAACATCTGCCCTACTGTTCCTCCGTCAAAGCATTGTGATGGGGGAGGTAGGGTGGGTGTTTTAGAGGGATGAGAGATCAGATGGGCCAAAGGGCCTTCTTCATTCAGGCTTCAGTACTATTAAAGTTTTCTGTGATTGCTCTGTGAAATATTAATGGATTTTGTGATTGCTCTGTGCAATATTGAGTGACTGTGGTATTGCTGGAGAGATGAGATCAGGCGAGCTGAAGGGTCTTCTTCCGATCTTTGTGGAGGAATTGAAAGGCTGGCAGTAGGCTGCTTCCAATTCTAGCTCCTCTTAGGCCAAAGTGACCACAGGCTTCCCTGCGCTAGGGAGGTTATATTCCCCTACCCCTTGGCAACAGGCTCCACCATTGTTAGGCTCTCTGAGACGCCGTCTGGTGTAAAGGCCACTATATAAATGCAAGTTGTATAATAAGCCGCCTTTTCTGCTTCCGGCTCCCCTTCTGGTTGTGTGCACGCATGTGGAAAAGAGTGAGGAGACATCCGACTCGGCTATGTCACCCTCTACAGTCTGAGTATTTTCCTTATATTTGATATACATTGGGAAGTCATGACAGCATTTAACTGTGAAGTGTAGTTTTTGTTTTTTTGTTTAATTGTGTATTTTGTAGGCAAACATTGGCAGCCAATTGCACGGAGCAATCAATGTCCCACAAACAGCAACGAGTGAATGATTGATTTTTATTTGTCGGCCAGGAAACTGGGAGAGAAAAACTCCCTCCTCTTTTCCAATAGTGCCCCGGGATCTTTAACATCCAACTGAACAGGAAACGGGCTTGTACTCGTAATGAGAATGTCACAAATGAAGAACGGCATCTGTGACAGTGCAGTGCTCCCCCCAGCGCTGTCCTGGAATGCAACCTGTTCAGTCTTTAATTATTCTCTGGGTAAAGAAAAACTTTGTGGTGTCTGATGTGAATTTGCCTTTTGCAACTCTAAACTTACGTCCCCTTGTTCTATCTTGATGCATCTGAAAGTGTTTTTGTGGGGTGACCTTTCCCTTTCAATTTAACATTGTTAACACCTCTGTAAGGTCTCTTTGCACCAAATGTTGTGTCTTGCTAGGTGCCCCATCTTACCAATAACAACAGCAACTTGCATATAGCGTCCTTGACATGGGGTAACATCTCGGATCGCTTACCAGACTGTGTGCATTATCAGGCATTCTGTGTGCCAGGCAGCTGAGTGTGGCGGCGCCATTGGCTTAATATAACAAGGACGACCTTTCAGTTTGCTGTTCGTCTCAATGTCTCTACGCAAGACTTAAAACGTTGCCCATGTCAGGGACGACTCCAGTGGTTTCCCTAATCAATGAGGCTGCCAGAACCATTAATCATTCTCAATCGCAGGCTATTATTGATTGAAGTGGCTCATTTAGGTGAAGGGTACTATTATTCCTGATGTGTGGAATGTGCAGCCACATAGACTGCAAAGTGTTGACCGCATCTCATCCATGCTTCACTATTCCACACTCCCCAGCTCTTCCCTAAACAAGCTACCGACCATCCAGAACTTTGTAGCTTGTGTTTTTTCCCACATCGGGCTCCTATCATCCCTAATCCTCCCTTAGCACCACTGGCTCCTCATACTCCAGTGGATCGAGTTCCAGATCCTCGTTCTTACCTTTAAATCCCTCCACAGCCTCACTCTGCTCTGACCTTCTGCGACCCTAATGACCAGGCCACTCCTTCCACTCAGATAGTTGTGCGGTCAAACTCCAAGTCAGGCTTTGATCTCCTGCAGTCCAGGATGATGCTCTAGTGCAGTGCAGTGCTGGGGGGAGCGTAACATTGTTGGAGGCATCATCTTTTGGATGAACTATTCAATCTGTTCATTCAGATGTTAAAGATCCCACAGTGTGATTTGAAAAGAGAGGGGAGTTTCTTTCTTCTGGCGTCCTGGCCGACAATCCCCCAGATAAAATCAGTCACCCACTTACATGCCCCCTGACAATCGTTTGCTAATGAAGTAAAACTTTGATCTCACTCTGTTTCCTCAGGTCAGCAAGTTCTTGGGCTGGTGGAGAACCAGAGTGACTGGTACTTGGGAAACTTGTGGAAGAATCATAGACCTTGGCCAGCATTGAGCCGCGGCTACAACACAGGTACCAGCACGTGAGCTCCGCAAGTCCACCACCCTTGTCATATACAGCTGTTAAATCCTATCATGACCCTCCCGATATATATCAAAAAGAAAAGATAACGCTCAGACAGTAGAGCTTGCATTCCAGGGCAGTGCTGGGGGAGCGCTGCACTGTCAGAGGTGTCGTCCTTCATTTATGACGTTTTCTGTATGAGGCTTTAAACCGAAGTCACGTCTGCATGTTCAAGTGGATGTTAAAGATCCTGCAGATAAATCACCCTTCCCAGCATCCAGAAAGCTGGTCTTGTCCAAGCAGTAGTACATTGCCTTCTCACGAGAACATGAGGAATGGGAGTGGAGGGGGAAGGGGGGAAATATGTCTTACAAGGGGGCAGCCAAATAGGAAAAATAGAGAAAATCAGTAATTTAAAGTTTTTCCAGCTATAATGTATTTCAAAATCCAAGGTATCACGTTGCGTACTTCTGAGTCAATTTCTGGGCTATTCTGCTATACTTTCCCCATTGTTATCCTCTAAGTATAGGTTTAGAGTTGGAAAGGGCAATTTCAAGGACAGACACCAGGAAGTGTTTCTTCACCCAGAGGCAAATTATCGACTGGAACAGTGTGCCGGAAAGGTTGGTTGAAGCTTGGACACTGGAACCTGTTTAATAATCAGCTTGATGTTAGGCTGGGGGTGGGTAGGGTGGGTATTCTGGAGCAATGAGATTAGATGGGCTGAAATCATCCAGACCAATGTTGTGATCTTGACTTGTGAGCTTGTCCTCTGCTGTGATTCAGTGAATAAAGTTAATTTTGGCACGTTTCCGCCAGGTGTGATCTTGCTGCTGTTGGACAAGCTGCGGAAAATGAAATGGGAACAGATGTGGCGTTTGACTGCTGAGAGAGAGCTGATGAACATGTTCTCCACGTCCCTGGCTGATCAGGTAAACAGCGACTCAGACAGCTACTGGCCACAGTCCATTCTATAGCAACAATAATTCTTGCATTTGTCAACCTGGTCTGTCGATAGCACGCTCACCTCTGAGTCAGAGGATTTTGGGGTTCAAGCCTCCGTGAAAATAAATAATAATCCTTGCATTTGATATAGCACACCCCAAAGCTCTGGAACAATCTCCCTCGATCCCTCCCCCTTGCCCCCCCTCTCCCCTTTTTCAAGTTCCACCTGAAAATCTTCCTGTTTGACCCTGCTTATGGTCAACTCCCCCCTCCCACGGCTTGGAGTCTGGCTCTGCCACTGTTAAGCGCTCTGAGACGCTACCCTGTATGGAGGGCACTATATAAGTGCAAGTTGTTGTTGTAGCACCTTATCAAGTCGTTGAGAGGTCTCAAAGCACTTCACACAGTTATTCTATTCTTCATAGGATATACAAGTGAATTTACTGTGTCTTTTGTGGGCGAACAGGCACACAGAATGTGGCAACATGATAAGACACTGTATCAAAGCAATGTTTATTAATATGTATCAAGGACTGTACGACCTTTTGGGTGACAACAATCACAGGTACTCACACCCAGGTTAACAAAGCAGCCCAGCCTCAGACCTAGTTGGTGATGTGTTCAGTGTGAGTTGCCCTCAGTAAACTCTGCCCATTTCTAAAGAACTGAACTTTTCATTGTAGAGTCACTTTGTTGCTCCACAGAACTTGATTTTTGCAGATTTTCTGTCTTTTCTCCTTCTCATTGCTTGTTTTTTTCTCTTTCTTGCTCCCTCTCTTTTTCTATCTCTCCCCCTGTCTTCTTCCCTCCCACCTTTCTCTGTCTCTTTCTCTCTCCTTCGCTCCCCTCTCTCTCTCTCTCTCTCTCTTTGTCTCTCCCCCTCTCCCTGTCTCACCCCCTCACCCTCTCCCTCATGCTCTCCCTCGCTTCCCCCTCTCTATTTCTCTTCCCCTCGCTCTCTCCCACTTCTCTCCCTCCCTTTTCCTCGCGCTCTCCCTCCCTCTCTACCCCTCCCTCTCTCACCCCCTCCCCATCTCTCTCTAACAGGATATCTTTAACGCCGTTATAAAGCAGAATCCCTACCTGGTGTACCAGCTCCCGTGTTTCTGGAATGTGCAATTGTCAGATCACACGCGTTCCGAGCAGTGCTACAAGGATGTGTCAGACCTCAAGGTAAGACGTGCCGATGACTTATCATTAATAATAATAATTCTTACATCTGAGACAGCGCTTTTCATGCTGGGAGGACTCAAAGCTCTTCACTGGATTTACTGTAAAGTGTAGTGACTGTGTGTTTTCCGGACAAATAGGGACAGCAATTTGCACATGACAACGTCCCCACAAACAGCCATGGATTGAATGACCAATCTTATCTGGAGGATTGTTGGCTAGGTACCAGGAGAAAGAAACTCCAAGCTTAAGAGTATGCAAGCCAAACTGAGAGTTCTACATATGTTTACAACCGACACTTGGAAATTTCCATGTGTCTGGAATGTACACTCTCTCTACTTACCTAATTCCAGAGAGTATTCGGCACAAGTTAGCAGGAGCTAAGGCTTGGGGGACCCCAGAGTCTTCTTTTAGGGTAACTGCTGGAGTCCTAAACAGTTAAAACCACACAGCTTGCCATTGAGTCTAGCAAGCCTTCCCACCGCTTGTCCAACTAGGACCACCCAACCTGTTAGGGCTGTGGCTTGCTTGGTTAACAGGAGCCAAGTGGGAAGAATCCCAGCTCCTGGGATGATACGATCAACTGCAATGGTGGAAGGTGGCTGGGATATGTCATACATGGGTCAATGCTGGTGTTTGGGAGCTGGTTATCTGGAGCTCTGAGGGGAGTTGTCTCAGAAGAGACATTATACCCATCTCCCCCCCCCACCCCCCAAAAAACACATCAAATGAAAAAAACATTTTTCAAACTCACTTTTAAAGAAAATGGCCAGGACGCTCCTTCATTGTTTCTTTGTGCAAAGCAGAATCAGGGATCTGTTTGTGCTTGATTTGCAACTTTTGCTGGCATTTAAATGACTGGCTTAACTGTAATGACTTGGGGAGTGAAGGCTGATAGTGTCCGATCATTCATCTGTGTGTTACGTGAGACAAGCATTCTCAAGGTTAATTGGCTGTTGACGTCAGGGACTAATGGAACTGGGTTGGCAAGGTGCTGTGATGATTTGTTCTTGCTTTCGTCTATTTCAGCTGGATGCTCTCCAGACTATGACACTGGGGATCAGTCCCCTCACTCTCCTCTGCTCTGCCTCCTTACAAAATTATATTCATATAGTGCCATTCATGTCAGGATGTCGCTGGACTGTTAAGAGTTTGCACCCAAGCTGGGGGTTGAAATTAAAAGGGATATGAGGGGGTGACCAGAACAAGGCATAGAGTGGCCCCTGGGATGGAGTGATCTTGTAAAGATGGATAGGTGGGGGAGACTAGGAAATTGTGAGAAGCTTTTCCCCACTTGTCTGGGAGCAATTTGCGGGACTCAATGATCTGAAACAACAACAACAAAATTACATTTATAGACCTTGCTGCCGTCACCCTGCGATTGACATTTCACAGCAAGTGAGGAACAACCTCAACCATAGTCTTCATTTCCTTTAGTCCATTACTGTAGCACTTCGGACTCTGAAGTGAGCACTCTTCAGGTCATTGGGAAACTGTGGATTTGTAAACAAACCCTCCCTCCATATTCCCCCATTCACCCATGCTGATGGGGAACTAGTACCATAGCTGAGCTTCAAACACTGTTTAGGTATTCATTAATATAATAATCCGTCCATTTCATTTTTATGAAGCATCTCAAAGCGCTGCACAGCTGTAGGTGAATTTGCTGTAGGCTGTAGGTGAATTTGCTCACAACAACATCCCACAAAGTCATGAATTATTGAGAGTGATTGATTTTGTCTGGATTGTTGCCCAGGACACCGGGGGAGAGAAACTCCCTTTTTTTTTCCAATAATGCAGCGGAATATTTAACATCCCCCTGAACAGGCACAGACCAGGAGCCACCAACAAGGCAGCACTCCCATCAGCCCTGTATTGGAGCACCAACCTGGACTGTGAGTTTGAAGTCCCCGACTTTGGAGTTTGATCCCATAACTTTCTGACTCACGAGGAGAAAGCGCTACTGACTGAACCAGCCTGGCACCTGCAATAACACACCATTGCGCATGGCGCATCATACTTCCCCTGCCACACCTCATTGTGAATTTATTGTCACAATGTGTCACAATGCATTGCATTGAGAAAAAGCACCAAGGTGGCATTTAAATTACCAGAGGCTGCGCCCAACTCTTGTTACATGAACAAGTTATCCAAAAGATGCATAAAATAGTGATCCTGTGAGGAAGCTAAATGTTTATCCCATCATAATGGGTCAGGTTCCAGTAAATTAGATTGCTGTGTCTGAGAATGGGGCCAGTCAGACTGTGTGTGCTGAAGAGCCGCATTCATGTCTCCCACACAGCTCTCCTGTGCAATGAGACAGCTCTAATCGGCTTCTGTTATAAGCTGCTCATTTGGACTCTGTTCCTCCAGTTTAATCCTATGGTGGAGGCTGTGCAATGCTAAGCCCAGGGTAAATGGATCTTTGAGTCCCTTAAATAACTCCCCAGACAAGCTGGGCAAAGCTTCTCGCCACTTCCTTGTCTCAACCCCGCCACCTACCGTTACAAGGAAGCAGGGCACTCTAGCGCCTTGTTCTGGTAAACGTGACATAAGGAGGGCTAACCAGGCTCTCACTCCATGACGGAGGTTAAAATCAACATAAAACTCCCACAACAGAGAGCAACTGGTCTGAACATTGATTTCAACTCCTCCATATCCACTCCGCCACCATGTCCCTGACGATTATCCAGAGCCTCAGCATCTTGGACCTCACCATCACTGACAAAGCCATCTCAGACCATTACTTCATCTCCCTTAACTCCTCAATCCCTCTCCTCCGCCACCCAACCCACCTCCATCTCCTACCGCACCTGGAAAAAAATCTCTGCCTCCACACCCCTCCCACTCTCTGCTGCCTTGGAGACATAAGGGGGGGCTAACCAGACCCTAGAGGCAATGCAGAGGAGAGCAACAAGGATGATCCCCAGTGTTAGAGGAATTAGGTGCTCTTCATCTTGAGAGAAGATATCTCAGACCTCATAGAGATGTACAACATTTTAAATAGGATTGAAAAGGTAAACTCATATCAATAAGTGATCCACGGATGCACACTCCACTGCACCAATCCAATTGGGAACCTGGGCTTCTTGTTCGACCCTCAACTGTCCTTTCACCCCCATATCCATGCCATGATCTGCAATGTCTTCCCCCACCTCTGCCACCTCCTCACCCCTCAGGCCACCAAAACCCTCATACACGCATTCATCACCTCAAGTCTCGACTATGGAAAATCGGCCTACCCAACTCTTCCTTCCACAAGCTGCAGATCATCCAGAATTCTGTAGCTCATTTCCTCTCCCGCACTAGGCTCTGTGACCCCATCACCCCCAACCTTGACCAGCTCCCATCCTTCAGAGGATAGAATTCAAAATCCCTGTCCTCACTCAAGGTCTTGCCCCCTCCTACCTCCCTGACCTGTTGACCCCTATCAACCTGTCCGCTCCCTCCGTTCAGCAGGCTCCAGCCTGCTCAATGTCTCCCGCCCAACCCACCTTACCATCGGTGGCTGTGCTTTCAGTCTCTCTGCCCGTACCCTTTAGAACTCCATCCCACAACAATAATATAACAATTCTTGCATTTGATATAGCGATTTTCACTTCTTCCAGATGTCTCAAAGAACTTTATAGAATATATTGTAAAGTGAATTGACTGTATGTTTGTGGGCGAAACGCAGCAGCCAATTGCGCACACCAGTGTCCCACAAAATTGAAGTCACCAATTTTAATATTGTTTTTAATCATTGTTTTGTTTTTCTTGAGGGATTATTATATGGAATAAGGAAGAAACTTGCCCAACGTTTCACCATACCGGAAATCAAACCCAGGTCTCTCGCTTGCAAGGCGAGTGCTCTACCACTGAGCTTCAGGACTTCTCCCTTCGCCTTGCTCCCTCCCTTGCCTCCTTCAAGGCACAACTCAATCTCCTTTTTGACCATGCCTTCAGGCGCCCTCCAACCTCTCTACTACCCCCTCACCCCATCCCTGCCCCCCCACAGTCCAATCCTGATCCACAACTGTTCAGCACCTTGGGATGTTCTCCTGATGTGAAAGTCGCTTTATAAATGTAATTTTGATGTTGATACTTATGGAGGCACCAAGACAGTAAAACAAGACAAGTCACTGGGGGCAAGGACTCTTCCACTTAGCCCTAAGGGAGAGGGTGGTTCTAGCTGGATAGGCAGAGGGAAAGCTTGCCAAACAGTGCTATCGATGGCAAGCTATGTGGTCTTAGCTGGTTAGACTCCAGCAGTACCCAAAGCACGCTCTGGAGTTTCCAAGCCTTGGCTCTTGCCAATCTGTGCCTAATAGTTTACAGAATTAGGTAAGCAGGATGCATCCCTCCAGGAAGAGTGCACATTTCATTCCAACAATCTATCTCTGGGATTTCCAGGTGTAGGAGGGATGCATGGAATTCTAAGCTTGGTTTGGATACTCTTAAGCATGATGATGGGTTTCCAAATGTGTCTGATAGTTGTGCATTAGAAACTGCTCAGAGTGAGCTACTGGGAAGCTCCAGGCAATGGAGGATGGAAAGCTGTGCGTGACGGAGGTTAAAGTCAACACGGATAAAACTCCCACAACAAGCAGAGTGCAGCAGCAGCTGGTCTGAACATTGATTTCCAATCCGCCATATCCACTCCGCTACGCACATCCCTGGTGATTACCCGGGCCCTCAGCATCTCGGACCTCACCATCACCGACAAAGTCATCTTGAACCATTAATTTATCTCCCTTAACTCCTCAATCCTTCTCCCCACTGCCACCAAATTCACCTCCTTCCGCCCTTGGAAAAAATCTCCCACCCCTACCCCCCCACCTCTGCTGCCTTGGAATCATCTGAACTTCTCCCTCAACTCCCCCTCTGGGCTTCCTTCCGCAGTGACCTACCCTCCTCGGTTACTCTCCTCTACAACTCCCTCTCCCCTACACTCAATGCCCTTGCCCCCCTCACTTCCTGAACTTTCTCCTACTCACAGAAGTCACCCTGGTACACCAGCCACGTCCACTACCTTAAGCCTCATGAACGTACCAACTTAACAGTCCATGGGCAGATCTGGTTGGACCTTATAAAATCTTACCGCTCCACCCTCACTTCCGCTAACTTGTCCTTCTACTCCAAGACAATCTTGGAGGCTAAGGACAATCCCAGGCTCCTCTTCTCCATCACCAACTGGCTTCTCCGCCCACCCTCTCACGTCTCGTCCATCCTCTCCTCCAACGCCAACTGCGAGGAGATGCTGGACTTCCTTAAAATCAAAGTCCTTTGGATGAGTCGTTAAACCAATGCCCAGTTTGTGCTTGTCAGGTGGACATTAAAGATCCCATGACGTGAATGTAAAAGAGAAGGGAGTCTCCCTCTCCTGCTGTCCTCGCTAACAACCTGCAGATAAAATTGAGTCATTCACATCATAGCTGCTTGTGGGATGTCATTATGCATAGATTGGCTGCTGCATTCTCCTACAAATACACAGTCACTACACTGACAGCAATTCCCAGCAAAGCTTTCCACCATTCAAGTGGCATTTCAAAGGATGATTTATTTATATTCGAAAAAATTGGATGGGGGGGGTTAGATATTGTGTTTGAGACAGTCCTGAGCTCCAGTACAGTCCAAGTCCAGCTATAAACGTGAGTCATCTTCCTGAATTATGGCTCGGTTGCCATTGTATGTGGTGCTATAGGAAAGTAAACTCAAGGGCAAATCTGTGAAAGTGTCATTAGCTTAAAATATAAAGAGCTGACACTTGTTTGGCAAGTAGCACCCTGGCGTGACACTGCTTCAGTGAGAGGAGGGTGACATTGAGTCTCAGTGAGGGGTGCAAAATGGGATAGAGAAGTCAGAACCACACTTGCACATATGCCAAGGTACAGGACAGGGGAGCACAGGTTTGGGGTCACAAAGACCAAACTCAGGACAGACACCAGGAAGTGTTTGAATCCCCAGACCTCATATTCAGGCTGTACAGTGCTCTAGTCAGGCCCCACTTTCAATACTGCATATAGCTCTGGTCACTGTAATGTAATTATTTATGCTTAGATAATTTTTTGGGGAGTACAAGTTTGCAGGGCTATGGGGAGAGAGCAGGGCAGTGGGATTGATTTGAATAGCTCTTTTGAAACAGCTGGCACATATATGATGGGCCAAATAGCCTTGTTCTGTGCTGTATAATTTTATTATTCTGTGATAAGTGGGGTGCACATAGGAGAGCAACAAAGATGATCCCCAGTGTTAGAGGAATGAGCTGTGAGCAACGATTAGGCAAGCCAGGGCTCTTCAATCTTGAGAAAAGACAACTCAGAGGAGATCTCACAGAGGTGTGTAACATTTTAAATGGGATTGAAAGAGTAAACTCGGATCAACGCTTCTCGATGCAACAGGACAGTAGAATAAGAGGACACAGGATTTGAGCTGTAAAGGGCAATTTCAGGACAGATACTAGAAATATTTTCTTCAGCCAGAGGGTAATTAACAACTGGAACAGATTACCACAAAGGCTGTTGAGACCAGGACCCCCCTCTAAAAAAGCAACTCGATGTTGTGATGGGGGTGAGATCAGATGAGCCGGGAGGTCGCCTTCATCTGAACCGATCTTGCGATGTTGTGATTCCTTATCCAGAGAGCGTGCTAGGTCAACGGAGTCAGTGACGGCCCAGTGAGGTCGTTGGGAGGGTGGGTAAGAGGAGGAGGGAGCTCAGAGGAAATGAGAGCCCCCACGTTACCAACCCCTGCTCTGTGTTGTGCAGGTCATCCACTGGAACTCGCCCAAGAAGCTGCGTGTGAAGAACAAGCATGTGGAGTTCTTCAGGAACCTGTACCTGACCTTCCTGGAGTACGATGGAAACCTGCTTCGTCGTGAGCTCTTTGGCTGCCCCAGCGCAGTCGACCAGAACAGCCAGAATGTGAGTCATTCACTGAACAACGTCTGAGGCCTTGTGTCATCAGCTGCACTCTCGCCCCCCCACTCCCAGCCCCAGGGTTCCTCACTCACACCCCCATGTTCCTCACTCACCTCACTCCCCAGTGTTCATCACTCCCCCCCCCCACCCTGTGTTCTCACTCACCTCCCTCCCCAATGTTACTCGCTGTTGCCCTCCAGTGACCGAGACATGTAAGTTCATCACCAGATGGACAAAGTGGATGAGGTGGTTTCTTGATTCCCGGGTGACAGTGTGTCTGACCGTGTGTGTGTGTGTGTGTGTGTGTGTGTGCCTCTCTCTCTCACAGTGTGTCAGTCTGTCAAACAGTGTTTGTGTGTCTCAGTGTGTGCGCGTGCCTCCTATAGTGTGTGTGTGTGTGTGTGTCTCTCTATCAGTGGAGTCCTGTAGCTCAGTGGTTAGAGCACTTGCTTTGCAAGTGAGAGACCTGAGTTCAATTCCAGGCAGGGCGAAACCTTGGGCAAGTTTCCTTACTCCACACGCCTAATAATAATCCCTCCAAAAAACCAAAAACAATAATAAATTGGTCATTTTCAATCTACGACTGTTTGTGGGACATTGCTGTGCGCAATTGGCTGCCGCGTTCGCCCACAAATATACGGTCAATTCACTTTACAGTATATTCTGTGAAGCGCTTTGGGACGTCCTCCCGACGTGAAAAGCGCTATATCAAATGCAAGGATTATTATTATTATTATTATAGTGTGTATGTGGTGTCTGACAGTGGATCAGTGTGTATGTGGTTTCTGACCATGTGGCCATCGTCCGACCCTGCTCTCACAGTGTGTGTCTTTCATAGTGTATGTGTGACCTCCGGGCTCTCACAGCTTCGTTTTTTGTGTGTGACAGTGGATGTGAGAGTGTGTGTGTCACTGTGTATGTTGTGTGACAGTGAATATGAGAGTGTGTGTGTCACAGTGTGTGTGAGAGAGACTGGATGTGAGAGTGTGTGTGTCACTGTGTGTGTGTGACAGTGAATGTAAGAGTGTGTGTCTCACAGTGTGTGAGAGTATGTGTGCGTCTCACAGTGTGTATGTGACAGTGAATGTGAGAGTGTGTGTGTCTCACAGTGGGTGTGTGTGTCTCACAGTGTGTGTGAGACAGTGGATGTGAGAGTGTGTATGTTTCATAGTGGGTGTGTGACAATGAATGAGAGTGTGTGTGTCTCACAGTGGGTGTGTGTCTTACAGTGGGCGTGAGACAGTGGATGTGAGAGTGTGTGTATCTCACAGTGGGTCTCTCACAGTGTGGGTGACTCTCATAGTCTGGGTATCTCTCACAGTGTGTGTGTCTCACAGAGTGTGTGTGTGTCTCACAGAGTGTGTGTGTCTCTCACAGTGTGTGTCTCACAGTGAATGTGTGTCTCACAGTGAGTGTGTGTCTCACAGTGAGTGTGTGTCTCACACAGAGTATGTGTGTCTCTCACAGTGTGTGTGTGTCTCTCAGTGTGTGTGTCTCTCAGTGTGTGTGTGTGTCTCTCAGTGTGTGTGTCTCTCAGTGTGTGTGTCTCTCACAGTGTGTGTATGTGTGTCTCACACAGTGTGTGTGTGTGTGTCTCACACAGTGTGTGTGTGTGTCTCACACAGTGTGTGTGTGTGTCTCACACAGTGTGTGTGTGTGTCTCTCACAATGTGTGTGTGTCTCTCACAGTGTGTGTGCCCCCGTGCTCTCACAGCTTCTCTCTATTTCAGCTTCAGAAGCAGTTGTTGGAGCTGGACGAGGATGACCCGTGTTACGAGTTCCGGCGCGAGCGTTTCACTGTGCACCGCACTCACCTCTATTTCCTGCACTACGAGTTTGAGCCATCGTCCGACAACACTGAGGTCACTCTGGTGGCTCAGCTCTCCATGGATAGGTCAGGACCCTTTGCCTCTCTTGATACCTCATCTCCCAGTGCTGTGAGCATATGTGACAAAGGCAAACAGCTTTGCTTCCCTCTTCACTTCCAGCCAATATCACCTCCTTGTAAATGTCATCTCCTCACGCCCATCACTCCAGTCCTTGCCAGGCTCTCCTGTCTCCTAGTGGATCAAACTCAAGCTCCTCAACCTCACCCATAAACCCCATCATCCACTCGCACTCACAACCCCCCTCCCCCATGCTCGGGTCGATACCTGACTGTTCAGCGCTTTGGGACGTTCTCCCGACATGAAAGGTGCTCTATAAATGTAATTTTGTTGTTGTTATAGGAAAAGAGAAGGAAATTTATCTCTTCTGCTGTCCAGGCCAGCAATACCCCCAAATAAAACCACTTCAAGGCTGTTTGTGGGAGATTGCTGTGTGCAAATCGACTGTCTCGTTTGCCCCCAAAACATACATTCACTCCACTTTAGTCCATACACCTCTGAGATATTTTGATGACTTGATAAGGCACATTATCAAATGCAAGAATTATTATAATTACATTGTATTATATTTTAAATAGACAGCATATATTTTCAAATACACTTTACAGTAAATCCAATGAAGAAGCCCTTTGAGAAGTCTAAATGACGTGTTAAGGCGCTATATCAAATGTAATAATTATTATTATATTATTATTTTTAATATTGACTGCTGCTAATCTCTGGTGTCGTAGTGTAGCGGTTAGCGCGCTTGCCCTGCGAGAGGACCCGGGATCAACTCCTGGGCGGGGCAAAACCTTAGGCAAATTTCCTTGTTCAACATGCCTTTGTTTACCAGAAGTAAGTAGGAACTCGGTTGTTAGTCAAACCCGATCGCTTTCTGAAAGTAACAATTCTTCCCCCCAAAAAAACAATGTTGTCACTCAATCCACGACTGTGGGACACTGTTGTGTGCAATTGGCTGCTGCGTTTTGCCCACAAGTAGACAGTCACATTACAGCATATTCTGTGAAGCACTTTGATACATCTCAATGAGGTGATAAGGTACAATCAAATGCAAGGATTATTATTATATTAAACTCTGAGTCCTGGGAGCTGCTCTGTTTGCTGTGTCCAGAGACTGACTCACATTGCTCCTCTGCTTTCTCTCTCTCAGGCTGCAGATGTTGGAGGCGATCTGCAAGCACTGGGAAGGTCCCATTAGCCTTGCTCTCTACCTGTCTGACGCTGAGGCCCAGCAATTCCTCCGCTATGCACAGGGCTCTGAGGTCCTGATGAGCAGAAGCAATGTGGCTTACCACATCGTGTACAAGGAGGGGCAGTTTTACCCTGTCAATCTGCTGCGAAATATAGCCATGAAACACGTCAACACCCAGTACATGTTCCTGTCTGATATTGACTTTCTCCCCATGTATGGTCTCTATGAGTATCTCAGGTAGGTTCTTTGTAAGTGACTTCTTTGTGGAGTCCCATAGGATAGTGGTTAACAAGCTCGCCGAACGAGCAAGAGTACCCGGTTCTATTCCCAAGCGGGGTGAAAGTTTCCTTAGTCCAAACGCTTCTGTTTACCTGCAGTAAGTAGGAACCTAGTTAGTCAATTGGCGGATCGCTTTCCTGGGGTAATATTCCCTCCCCCTAAAAAGCAGATGAGACCTCGGTTTAACTTGTCATCCAAAAGATGGCAAAGATAATGCAACATACCCCAAACACTGCATTGGAGTGTCAGCTAAGACTGTGATTCCAAGTTACAACCTTCTGACTCAAGAGACGAGAGTCATACCACTGCACCAGGCTGACAAACAATCACCAACAAATCCCTTCATTCACCTGGTCTTCACGGCCTGTCTTAAAACCTACCGCTTCGGTTGCACCAATAGTCGGTCATTTTTTCCCTTCCTCGCTCTCCCCTCCCCCACAGTCTGTCCGTCCCCGCCACTGTGCAGCACTCTTTTTTTTGATCAGCCAAGTGGCTGACACATGCGAAAAACCATCATCATGCTTAAGAGTATTGAAACCAAACTGGGAATTCCATGCCTCCCACCTACACATGGAAATCCCAGAGATAAATTGTTGGAATGGAATGGGCACTCTCTTCCTGGAGGGACACATCCTGCTTACCTAATTCCAGAAAGTATTAGGTGCAGGTCGGCAAGAGCCAAGGCTTGGGGACCCTAGAATGTGCACTGGGGTAACTACTGGAGTCTAACCAGCTAAAACCACATAGCTTGTCTTTGATATTGCTGTCTGGCAAGCTTTTCCGCTGCTTGTCTAGCTGGGACTACCCTACCCATTAGGGTTTTGGCTTGCAGGGTTTACAGCACTCAGATATCGTATTAGTACTTGAAAGGCGCTTGTCATCAGCTCTGAGACTGTGATGTGCTGTGTCCTCTTACAGGAAGTCTGTTGTGCAGCTGGACATGCAGAATGTGAAGAAAGCTCTGATTGTGCCAGCGTTCGAAACCCTCCGCTACCGTCTGGCCTTCCCCAAATCAAAAGCGGAGTTACTCTCCATGTTAGACATGGGAACTCTCTTCACTTTTAGGTACCGATGTGCGCACACACGTTAAATACATTGTATGTAATGCATCATCAGATTTGTGTTTGTTTCTACCTACCAGTGCCTCTGAATGTTCGTTTTTCGGTGGAAACTCAACACCATGTTTTTGAGTCTCCAAACCAGACTGAGAGTTCCATATATGTGCACTACCTACACATAGAAATGTCCCAATGTCTGGAATGGAATGTACACTCTGTCGCTGGAGGAACGTACCCTGCTTACCTAATTCTGGAGAGTATTATGCACAGGTTGGTGAGAGCCAAGCCTTGGGGGGCCCCAGAATATGCGTTGAGGTAATGGCTAGAGTTTAACCGGTTAAAATCACATAGCTTTCCCTTGTCTGGCAAGCTTCCTGGTGCTTGTCCAGCTAGGCCCACCTACCTGTTAGGCCTTTGGCTTACAGAGTTAACAGGAGCTGAGTGGGAAGAATTGATGTCCTCTAAGCCTGTAAAATACCTGCTGATGAGCCAGGCTGGCTGCTCTGTCATTCACCAGCCTATTTCACATCATCCAACTGATCTACTATTGGAGAGTGAGTTTTCAGCCAGAGTTCTGCCCACTCTGGAATTCCATCCCGGAACTCCTCCATCTCATCCCCTTCCTCCCACCTGCCTTAAGATCATTTTGACTGTGTGTTTAGACACCTTTCCTCCCCCGCCTCAGACCCCCACGCCCCACATTTACAGAGATTAACATTTTTCAGAATAGATTGATGCTGGGAACGCTGCTAAATCAAATTCAAAGATTGCTACCATTATTATAAATTTTTCCTGGTGAGATGTAAGGGCAGTAAATTGCCTTCTGTAGTGTATTTCTCATTTTCCTGTATGTTGCCTGTAATGTAACTGAATTCTGCTGGTTCAGGTATCACGTCTGGACCAAGGGTCACGCTCCGACCAACTTTGCCAAGTGGCGGACAGCGACCACCTTGTACCACGTGGACTGGGAGGCAGATTTCGAGCCTTACGTTGTAGTGAGGCGTGACTGCCCTGAGTATGACCGGAGATTCGTGGGCTTTGGCTGGAATAAAGTGGCGCATATCATGGAGTTGGATGCCCAGGTAATGCCCAGAGTCCGCCTAGCAATCGAGCTTGTCACCCTGCGGTAATATCCCTGCTAAGAAGGCTTCATGTGTCACATGATTCCTCTCCGGGTCAGAACAGCGTTGGCTTTGAGCTCGCAGTCCAGGTTGAAGTTCCAGTGCAGGCCTGGGAGCTATCCTGCATTCTCGTAGGCGCTGTCCTTTGGATAACTTTCCTGCTTGTTCAAGTGGACATAAAAATCCCGCAGCACTAATCAAAATGAAAAAGGAGTTTCTTGCTCTCAGTGGCCTGGCCGACAATTTCCCCTCGCCCGCCGCCCCCACCACCACCAGATAAAATCTATCATTCACATCATGGCTGTTTGTGGGCCATTGCTGTTGCCAAATTGGTTGCCATGTTTGCCAACAAAACACACAGTCACTGCGATTTACAGCGAGATGGAGTGAAGCGCTTTGAGACATCCTCCCAACATGATAAGGTGCAGTATAAAATGAGGGAAGTGATATAGTTTGTTTAATCTTTGTCTCTCCACATGAACTGAAAGCTACTCTCTCTCTCTCTCTCTCTCTCTTTCTGTCTACCCTTCCAGGAGTATGAGTTTGTTGTTCTCCCCAATGCCTATATGATCCACATGCCTCACGCCCCCAGCTTTGACATCACCAAATTCCGCTCCAACAAGCAATACCGCATTTGTCTAAAGACTCTGAAGGAAGAGTTCCAACAGGACATGTCACGGCACTATGGATTTGCAGCCCTCAAGTACCTGACTGCTGAGAACAACAGCTGACAATGGAGGCATTCTTGGCCCTGCCCGCTTCACTTGCTTTCACCACTGCGAGGGACGAGACGTAGAGGGGAGGAGAGGATGAGGCAGCCGTTCACGCTGAAGCAAGTGCATGCAGACTTCCGTTGCCTAAACCCATCGTGCTGTCAGGACGTGGCTGGCTTGGTCACCGGGCTGGATGCCAGTGTCAGCTCTTCTTTCAGAAACATTGAGATTGTTGAGGTTATTAGCTTCTGAAAGACGTTGTATTCTCTGATCTCGCTGGCCCCTCTTCCCATAACACTGCCTTGCCTGTGCACTGGTTGTTGATGTCCACACAGCCTTTTTAGATGAGTAGTGCAAGCACAGAGGATGGGGAGGGGGAGGTTAAATGTTCCAGACACCAAATGGCTTGATTGTTCCTCCACTACCAATGCCCCCTCACCTCCCAAAAAGTGTGACTCTGTTCCTTGCTCTGACCAACCAAGTAGTCCTGCCCTCGCCGCATGCCTCCGAGTCATAAGGCTGTGGGTTTAAGCCCAAGTCAGGACTTTAAAATCACAGAGCAGGCTGACACTTCAGGGCAGTGCTGGTGGGAGCACCGCATTGTCAGAAGCGCCGTCCTTTGGATGAGATGCTAAATCGAGGTCCAGTCTGTGCCCTCTTTAGGCGGACGATAAAGTTGCAGTGGTTCTGCTTAAAAGAGAAGAAAGTTTCTCTCTCAGTGTCCTGGCTGACAATCCCATAGATAAAATCGGTCACTCGCTTCATCACTGTGTATGAGACTTTGCTGTGTGCAAATAGGCCATGTTCACTGATAAAATACAGTCACTATTTTGAGATTTTCTCCCGATGTGCAAGGCACATGAGGATTATTATTATTGTAAATGCCGTTCGAATCAGTGCACCACTCCAGTCCTTAGTCGTGTTGGGTTTCTGACAGTCTTGCTGTTAACTCCTATTAACTCCAACCCAACCTCTTGCCGCTCGATAGGAATGAGTGCGGATCTGTGCCTGAGCTCTCAGTCCCTCCTCAGAACACTCCTGTGGACTCGCCCTACCCCACCGCCGCGCCCCACAAACACACACAGACTTTTTTGCTGCATTCTTTTAAGGGTGGTTGAGGGGGAGTGGGGCAAGGAAGTAGATGGTAAAAGTGAGCCCTCTCTCCCTGAAGCCACTGCTCATGTTTGCTACAAATCCACCTCACTGCTTGATACTGGACTACACTAGGATCTGATTTGATGAGATGTAGGTGTCAACCTGGCTTGGAGAGGTACTCTTGCCTCTGAATTAGAAGGTTCGAGGCCCATGTCTGAACTGTGTTCACAGCTCAGTTGAGGCTGACATTCAGTACTGTGCTGGGTGGAGCGCTGGATTGTTGGAGGAGTGTTTTTTTGAATGAGTTAAACCAAGGAGACCCCATCTTGTCTATTCAGGTGGATGTTAAAAGATCTTAACTGAAAAGTGAATTGGGTTCCACAACATCAGAAGAACATCTCAAAGTGCTTCACAGTGGTGACTTTGTAGGCAAATGCAGCAGCCAATTTGTGCACAGGCACGTCCTACAAACAGCCCTTAAGTTAGTGACCAATTTTATCTGAGGGATTGTTGGCCAAGATACTAGGAGAGGTAAACTTCCTTCTCTTTTCCAGTGTTGCCACAGGATCTTCAATGTCCACCTGATCGGATCCCATCTTTAAATCAATGATTTAAATTACAAAGGGACTGGATAGGTAGATACAGAGAAATTATTTCCTCTGGGAAGGGAATCGTGAACGAGAGCACGTAATCTTAAAATCGGAGCTCGCCCGCCAGTTAAGAGTGAAATCATGTGGTATTTTTTCCACACAAAGGGTAACGAAAATCTGGAACTCTCCCCCAAAAGACTGTGGATGCCGGGTCAGTTAGAATTTTCAGGATTGAGATGATAGATAGTTAGGAATATATCAAGGGATACAGAGAGAAAGCAACTGGAGCTGAGGTACAGATCAGCCATGATCTAATAATGTCTAATCTAAGGCCGATTCTGATGTATCTGTGAGATCTATCAACAATGCCCGTCCACGCGCCCCCCCCCCCCCCCGCCCCACCCCCGCACTGTCCCGTCCAAAATCCCTCGTATTTGAGAACTGTGTATCGGTCGCCGTCTGGTCTCTGGTGAATTCCAGCTGGCATATCATTCCAATTGAAACCCAGGCATGGGAGCACCAGTCCTGGGTCCCGCCACATGGCTCTGACTATTAGGTCTCTCTGAATTCTCTGTGACTGTTAAACCACCTACTGCCCCCATCCCATGGCTCACCGAGCACGATAGCTGTGTAAGTTCAACCATGTTAAACCAACGGCAACAAAAATAAAATCAATTGGAGTTTTAGTTTGACTTTCCAGGTTCTCACACATGCTGGCTGTGTTACATTCTGTTGTGTTTGGTGTCTTGTTTTCACCCTCCCCCCCCCCACTTCCAGATAACTGAAAAACGCTAATAATACACGTCACCCAATTGGTATAAAAGCTGGGGTCAGGAAGGTGAGGAGCATCTCTCAGAGCGACAGTTGTGAAGGTTGCTGTTTACACTGAGGGAAGTGAATGGTGATGTTTCTCCCTCCCTCAACCCCCTGTTCCCAGCCCAGGCCCAAACAGTAATAATTTGCACTTACACAGCCATCCTCAGCACTCCACACTCTGGCTGAAGGGTGGGAGCTGAAGAGTGTTGTCAGGAGAAAGACAACTGAAAGCATGCGGGATGAGGTAAGTCTTGATACTGGCTTTGAAATCAAACCACATCTGAATGCTTTCCCAATGAAACATGCACGATACTTAAACTGAAACCCAGCTCTCTTTCTCTGCATCCCACCCTTGATGATTTTATTAAAAATAGCAGTCTGTTGGGTAACGCTTGTAGCAGACAATGTTTGATGAGGTAACAGCTTGGCTCAGTCACTTGCACTCCTGAGTGGATTCAAGCCACATTTCGGGATTTTGAATTCAGTCTGGGTTGGCACTCCAGTGGGAAGCGTTGCAATGTTATAGGCTCCATCTTTTGGATGAGATGTTAAACTGAGGCCCCGTCTGTACAACAACAACAACAACTTGCATTAGCATTGTGGAGTTGCACTGTGGCAAGGTTGAAAGCCAAAAGAGGGATAAGGGGAAGTTGACGATAGGTCAAAGAGGTAAATCTTAAGTGGGATTTAAACGGCAAACCATCACAAATGGTGATTACGTCAAACAGGTAGGATGTTCACGCTATCTTATTTTAGGATTGATTAAAAACAGCTCACAGAAACAGCAGAGAAAGACCACGGTTGCAACAAGAGGAGAGAAACTGGTCACTGGGATATTTGCCTGTTTGAGTCAGGAAAAGGAAGGGACGGGTGAGTGGAGTCTCTTTGGGGCTGATCTGGTTGTAAAGTGATGTGCTAGTTAATGGAATATCGACTACGGGGATTGATGCTTCAGCTCATCCTCCAAGGCATTGCTGATGACAGATCAGCCCAACTTGGCACATCGGCAGATCAATCTGGGGACAGGGATTCTTCCCATTCAGCTCCGTTTAACTCTTCACACAAAACCCCAAGTGGGTAGGGTGGTCCTGGACAAGCAGATGGAAAGCTTGCCAGACTGTGCATTCAATGGCTAACTGCAATTTTAGCTGGTTAGACTCCCAGCAATGACCCTAACACACACTTGGAGGTCCCTAAGGCTTGACTCTTGTTTTAGGAAGCTGACGGGGCAGATTCTCTTATGGAGAGTAGTAGAGTGTTATTTTGTGGCTCTGCTGGCGTGTGTGTGTGTGTATTTGTACGTTCTGTACTGAAGTAGATCTGAAGAAACTATTACGGGTGTGAAATTGTTTTAATTTGAAAAACACTGCCAGCTAAAACCACATAGCTTGCCATTGATATTGCTGTCTTGCAGGGTTAACAGGAGCCGAGTGGGATGACTCTCTCCCACAGTGACTGGTCTGCCCTTCCAGGTCCTGCCGGTGAGCCAGGCTGGCTGTGCGTCATCAGCTGTGCCCTGAAATAATGCTGACCCACCTGGCTCAGAAACTGGACTACCGAGACCGCCACAGAGGCCGGCTCGATTCCGACATCCCATTGCCAGGTGTATTACCTTGGAGCCAATTTCAGCATCTGCCTTCAACGTGGTGGGAGGAACTTTACAGCACAGCTTGTGATGTGATAGCCACCTTGATGTTCCCGAGGTTCAAGTCCAATGCCGTGTACCAGGCTTACTCAGCACCAGCTGCTCAATCCAAGTCCTCATGCGCGGGGCTTGGGCAAACAGATGTGGCTGCTGTTAAGCCAAGTCCGCCTTCAGGTTGCTTGGTGACAGGTCAGTGTAGGCTGGAACCCTCCCTCCCTGCAGCTGCTTCCCCTGTTTGCCACAAATCCACTTCACTGCTTGATCCTGGACTTTGCAAATGGGTTGGAAGAAATTTTCACTGCATCCCTAGGAGTTCAGATCCATAAAGGAGGACTGTAGTACAGAAGGTCCCCAGGTGGGTCCACCAGCAGCACAATATCATCTGCAAACAGAAACGCTGCAATCCTGTCAGAGAGGCCTGGAAGTCCTTACACTAAATCCTTCCCCCTCGATGCCATCCAACACATTATTGATGAACACATTGAACTGGGTGGGTGACAATGGGCAGCCTTGCCTTATCCCCCTTTCCAGAGGGAGAGGCTCAGCAAGTCCTCCCGATGCTATACAAATGTAATCTATACAAATGTAATCTTGAAGTTGTTGATCTTTACACCCACAGATCTTGGAGCTAGAATACACATTCCAGATAAAAATCCAGGATTCGGCCATGTACTCCCATGGCTTTCAGTTTTATCATGAGGGCCTCATGAGGCATTAGGTCAAAAGCCTTGCAAAAACCGATGAAAGCAACATAGACCTCAACATTATGACGTTCCTCGATTTCATACAGAGCTACAACCTGTCCCACATATTCCTCACGAGACCGGAAGCCAGCCTGCTTCTTCCTGATCAAACCATGAGTCTCCAATGCGTTGTGATACAATTGCATTGATGACCCGAAGCACCACTTTAAGAGCCACTGAAATCAGTGAGATCCCTCTGTAGTTATTGGTTTCACTAGGGTGCAACGGTTCTCATTCCTTGATGTACGTGCAAATTTTAGTCGCACTTTCGTACTAAGTGGCCTCTGCTCACTCCTAATCCTGTCAGTGTGAGTCCCTGTCTCAAAGGTGACTCAACCGAGTGAGAGTCACACACAGACCGGTATTCCCAGTTAACTCCAATGCCCGGTAATCGGAATTTACAGACTAATTGGAGTCTACTCACACTAGCAGAACTGCAATGTCAATAGTTACTCTCCGAAGCGTTTACTCCTTTTCCTGCTTTAGAATATTACAGAGAATCAAGAGTACATTTGGTAGAAACAACAGCTCTTTATTAAGACCTAGCCACCCAAGGCTACCTTGCATATAAGCAACACAACAATTTAAGATATACAACAATAGGATCAAATATAACTATCACACATAACTGTAATAACTAGCAGCAAAATATTACATTAGTATAGAGATATTAAACCAACCTGACTGTACAGTAATCCTGTACATGTCAGTATGTCCACATTACTACCACTAGTTAGCGACTACAAGCTACGCTGAGCATTACTTTTTATAGGTGTGTGGCTCCAGTCACCGCATGATGCAAATGCTCGGGCTTTTTCCCGCGCTAGCGCCCATATGTTATTTTACTCTCCAGGCTGCTTGTTAACTGACTGTCAATCAAACAGCCCTGGACCTATACATTGGTGCAATTCGTACTCTGCTTGCTAAGTTTCGCCCACAAAAATGCAGTCAATTCACTTTACAGTATATTCTGTGAAGCCCTTTGAGACGTCTAGAAGATGTGAAAAGCACTATATCAAATTCAAGGATTATTATTATTAATGCAAAGCAGCTTCTGCAACAGAATCCATTTAAAGGGGCAGGCCTCCCCATTTCATAGAATCAGCGTAGAAGGAGGCCATTCGGCCCATCGTGTCTGTGCCGGCTCTTTGAAAAGAGCTATACAATTCAATCCCACTACTCCACTCTCTCCCCATAGCCCTGAAAACTTGTCCTCCCCAAATAATTATCTACTCTCTTAAAAGTTGTTATCGAATTGGCTTCCCTTTCATTTTTTTTCATACTTTTCATTCCCTTTCAGGCAATGCATTTCAGGTCCGAAAAACTAGCTGTGTGAAAAAAGTTCTCCTCACCTCCCCTCCATTTCTTTTAAAAACTATTTTAAATCGGTGTCCTCAGGTTACTGACCCATCCACCATTGGATATAGTTTCTCCTGTTTAGCCTATCAAATCCCCTCATAATTTTGAAAACTTCTATTAAATCTCCTCTTAATCTTCTCTGCTCCAAGGAGAATAATCCTAGTTTCTCTAGCCTCTCCTCATAACTGAAGTCCCTCATTCCTGGTACCATCCTGGTAAATCTCCTTTACTCCTTCACCAATGCCTTGATATCCTTCCTAAAGTGTGGAGCCCAGATGTGAACACAGTACTCCAGCTGAGGCCTAACCAGTGTTTTATAAAGATTCATCATAACTTCCTGACTTTTGTATTCTATGCCCCAATTTATAAAACCAAGTATCCTGTATACTCTTTAAACAGTTGTATCTGCCTGTCCTGCCACATTCAAAGATTTACTTATATGAACCCCCAGGTCTCTCTGTTCCTTTAGCCCCTTTCACATTGTACCATCAGCTTATATTGCCTCTCCTCATTCTTCCTCCTAAAATGCATCACTTCTCATTTCTCCACATTAAACTTCATCTGCTACCTGTGTGTCCATTTTACCAATCTTCTCCTCACCGTTTACTACTTTTCCGAAATTGTACTCCCTATACCCAAGTCCAAGTCATTTATATAGATCAAAAACAGCAGTGGTCCCACTACTGACCCCTGGGAGAAAATCATTGTTCACCTCATTCCAGTCAGAAAAACAACTGTTCACCACCGCTCTCTGCTTTCAATCTCCCAGCCAGTTCTGCATCCATGCTGCCACTGTCCCTTTAACACCATGGATTTCTATTATCAAACGCCTTTTGAAAATCCATATAAACTACATCAACTGCACTACCTTCATCCACCCTCTCCGTTACTTCATCAAAAAACTCTATCAGGTTTGTTAAGCATGATTCGCCTTTAACAAATCCGTTGTGGATATTATTTAAGGGAAATATTTTTATTCATTATTATTATATCATTATACATATATATTATTTACACATTACTAAGGACTCCAAAAATAGGGTAGTCATGACAAGGGTCTTGTGGATAGAGACCTGTTGCCCAGCGCTAGAAGGGCAGCTCCAAGAAACGTTGGGGGTTGCTGTAAGATCCTTACCATTTTCCATCTCCTTTGTCTCCATGTCTACCATTGTAGTGCACAAAAGCATTATACTGATCAAGTGTCTCAGCCTGGCTCAGTCACTCACACTCTTTGCCTTTGAGTCAGAATTTTGTGGGTCCGAGCCCCACGTTGGGACCTTGAGCTCACAGACCAGGGTGACTGTCCAGTGGAGTGCTAAGGGGAGTGCTGCATAGTCAGAGGTGCCATCCTTCAGATGAGCTGTTAAACCAAGATCCCATCTGTGCCCTGTTCAGATGGATGTAAACGATCCATGAGTCTATTCGAAAAGAGAAGGCAGTTTCTTCCAAATTTCTGGCTGAGAAACCCTCAGATACAATCGATCATGCAGCCCGCTTGAGCTGGCAATAAACCAAAATAAATAAAGATAAATGCAGTACTCCGCTAGTGTTAGTGAGACATTGCTATATGCAATATGCGTACATCAGCTTACAATATAGACACAATCACTGCTCTTTACAGTAAACCCTGTGAAGTACTTTTAGATGTCCTCCAGGGTGTCAACCTAGACTGAAAGGTGCGATATCTAATTTAAGGCTTATTATTATTGTTCTTTTTCTCTTCATTAGCACATACAGTACAGATAAAGTCACGTTTGGGGAAATAATGTAACCTTAAAGAGGGGAAGAGCACGAAAAGCAGGGAGGTAGATCTTAGGTGGGATTTGAAGATAGATAGAGGGGTTGAGGTGGAGAGTTTCAGACAGCGAGTTCATTTGCCATCCTCAGGGTCCTGGCCTTGGTGATTGCTCCCCATCCCACCCTCCTCTCCTGCCCCCTCTGTGTCGAGCAATCAGACTTTAATTCATCTGCTCTTTGTTACTGCACCTCTTTATTAGGGGTGGAAGCTGCTCAGTGAGGAGAAGGGACCTGGCATGAACAGAATGCTAAGTGGGACCCATAATGGCACCTTTGTGTCCTGCAGCGTAAGAAGGCTTGGAAATGTGGTTGTGTTGGGTTAAACCGAGGAGAGAGTTGATAATCTGGCCTCCAAACGAGTGAGCCATTTTATGGTAAAACCAGATTAGGTTTCAAGTAGACAGAATTTGCTATATCTCGCAATGGTCTTTTGCATCAAGGCTCTGGTTACCAGCTTAACCACTGAGACTTTTTATTCAGAGTTACACAGGGTCCAGCTCCTCGTTCACTCACTGGCTGTCCAAATCAGAGCGCTGCATTTATCTTTATTTATTTTGGTTTATTGCCAGCTTAAGCGGACTGTGTGGAATATAAAGTGGTCTCCCAGTGAGAGAATGAGATAGATAGAGAGATTTCTGGGCTTTCATAAGTCAAAACAGCTGTCACAGTGGAATCAATGACCCCCCCCCCCCCCTCCATGATTCTGAGCCGAGGAAGGGTCGAATACACAGGTCTTCAGGCACGACATGAAGATGGGGAAGGAAGGGAAAGCGCGGCTACTAATTGTGGAACAGAGGGCACGAGGAACATGCAGAAAGCTGGAACCATTCGAGTGGAGGCAGCGGGTTGGAGAGGTAGGGAGGTGCCAGGGCATGAAGGGATTTGAAAACGAGAGTGAGAATCTTGAAATCGATCTGTTTGGTAATAAGGAGCCAGTGGAGCCTGGATAGAACTGGTATGATGGATGTACTGAGTTTAGTACGGGAGATTTAGTACAATCTCCCAGTGTCCTGGCTGTCAATCCCCTGATAAAGTTGATCATTCACTTCACGGCTGATTGTGGAATGTTGCTGTGTGCAAATTAGCTGCCGCGATTATCCACAATACACTGTCACTCCACTTTACAGGATATCCTGTGAAGCACTTTGACGCATCTTAACAATGTGATCAGGTGCTATATCAAATGCAAGGACTCTTATAACACAGGCCTCAGGAGCCCTGCATTATTTTGGAGGTCCCGTCTTTTGGATGAGACCTTAAACGTTAAACCCCTGTCTCATCTATGCCTCCATTTCATCTCGGCAAATGTTTTCTCCTCCCGCCCAGTCAACTGCGGGGTACCCTAGGGCTCCATCCTTGGCCCCCTTCTTTTCCTTATCTAATGCTTCCTCTGGGCGATGTCATGCCCGGGGAAAACATCCACATATATGCAGATGACACACAAATCTACTTTGCCTCCTCCAGTACCAACTTCAGGTCCGCTGATGTTCTATCAGCTTGTCTGGCAGATATCAAGGCCTGGATGAGTGTAAACGGAAGCCATACTCCTTGGCTCCCATCAACGTCTTCAGGACCAACGTCTTTCCACCTCGTCCACATTGCCTGCCTCCGACCATACCTTACCCCCAATGGAGTTGAAACCCTCGTGCGTGCTTTGTCACCTCCCGTCCGTATTACTCAAATGCATTCCTCGCTGGTCTCCCAATCTCCACTATTCAAAAGATCCAGCTCATTCAGAAATCTGCCGTCCGCATACTGACCCGGAGCAAAGTCCGAACCCACATCTCACCAGTTCTGGCCAGGCTCTACTGGCTCCCCATCACCGAACGGATCGACTTCAAGATCCTCACACTCATGTTCAAATCACTTCACTCTTTGGCACCTCCCCACCTCTCCGACCTCCTCACTCTCCAATCCAGTGCAGGGGTCCATTCTCATTGAGCGTAGGGATGGAGTGGGTGGTACTTTATTTCACTAGGTTTTGGAAGGTTGAGTGTTTTGTAGAACACTTAGTCACAAAGTTTTATGATTTGAGCTGAACATCGTTGTGTTTGTACTATTATGTATGTTTTTTGTCCAGGTTAATCTGAAACAAAATAATCTATTTCTTAACAGATAAATGGATCATGGGGAATAATACCAGAGGCAGTTTCCAGAAGCTGATCCTGCAGACAGAATTTGGAATATGAGGATGAACTCTCAAATCATTTTCAAATCTGTCTTTCTGTGTGAAAACATTCCAAGGTGTTGCACTGAACTTGAGGGAAGTTTGTTCCTGTAATTCTGTGAGGCAGTAAGTTTAGAAAGCCATGGAGTTAACACATTTTGTGTAAAATATGTAATCTATGTAGTTGTAAATTGCTTTTTAATAGCAACAGCAATTTAATCAGAATTTCATTTGCTGCTCATCAATAGTTGGAATAAAGTGACATGAAGGTTTTTTCCATCAGTTCAATGTTCTTTATTGGTGGTATGTTTATTAAGTTACAAGTGGGCATCTCTGAAAAAGTATTTAAAAGAATGTTGATCCAATCTATGGGCAAGTCTGAGCAGGAAAAATCTGAGGCATGTTATAAGTACACTTGACTAATGGGTATTTTCCCTCAGGAATATATTTATAAAAATTATGAGATCTCAATTTATTTCCTGTTTTGAAGAAAGGATGAGGTTTTAAAAATAATACATACTAGCTGGAAAACAAAGACCAAAACATCGACATCTTTAGTACAAGCTAACATTTAAGTAACTCCCCCAGGCAGAGTCTTGAAGGAGGCAAGGGATGGAGTTCCCTGGAGCAGGCAGGTTGATACGATAGGGGATCAAGCATGGAGTCTGGTGCAGGAGAGGACACGAGCTGAAGAGTTCTGGATGATCTGCAGTTTGTGGAGGGAAGAGTTGGGAAAGCCGACAAGCAAGGAGTTGGTGTAGTCAAGCCGAGATGTAATAAAATGCGTGGATGAGGGAGTGTTAGAGCCACACAAGGAGAAGTGATGTCATCAAGTTCACGAACTGCACCTTTTTCATACAATGACAACTTGAACTTATATAGTGCCCTCCGCGCAGTGTAGTGTCTCAGAGCACTTAACAGTGGCGGAGCCTGACACCGAGCCGGGGGGTTCGGAGGAGATGACGGTTAGCACGATCGAAGAGGCAAGTTTTCAGGCAGGACTTGAAAGAGAGGAGCGAGGGAGAAAGGCAGAGGGATTGAGGGAGAGTGTTCCAGAGTTTTTGAATAAAATGAGATAAATAAATAAATAATAATAATTAAAAAAAAACACAATAATGAAATATTTAGGTAAGAGTTTAACAGAGCTCACCAAAGAACCACATCTAAACATCACAAATTTTAGTAACGACCTGAACTTGCGTTTTTACACAAAAATTATACAAAATATCAAATGTCAGACCTTGGGTCTGAAAAAGAAAAGGGCAGGGGAGAAATAATAATAATAATCCTTGCATTTGATAAAGCACCTTATCATGTCTTCGAGACGTCTCAAAGCACTTCACAGAATATACTGTAAAGAGAATTGGCTGTATATTTTGTGGATGAAATGCACCCACAAAATAGAATCATTTTTATTAATGAAATCTCAGTATATACTACACCTTGTTGCAAATCATTATCTTTCACCTCAGTACACATTAGCCTTTAATCACAAATTGCATTTGACATTCACCTCAACATGCACTGACTTTTCTCTCAATGTTCATTGATCTTCACATCATTAATTGTATCTTCACACATTCTTCTGCATTGTGTCAGCCTGCAGCCTGGATCAGTTGTAGCACTCTCATCTCTGAGTGAGAAGCTGTGGATTCAAGATCAGGACTTGGAATCACATAGTCTTAAATCCTATGTAGTGCTGGGGGTGTATTGCATTGTTGGAGGTGCCATCCTTCAGATGAGCCGTGATACCATCCGCATGTTCAAGTGGATGTTAAAGATCCCATGACACTATTTGAAAAGAGAAGTGAGTTTCTCACAGTGTCTGGACAACAATTCTCTGAAATAAAATTGGTCGCTCACTCCATGGATGTTTGCTGTGTGCAAACTGGCTGCAGCGTTTACCCACAAAACACAGTCATCACTGCACTTCACTGTGACTTCTCGACGACGTGATAAGGCACTATATCAAGTGCAAGGATTACTATTTACCTTAACATCAATTAACATACTGACCTTCGCCTCAATAAATGGATTGATCTTCACCTCAATAAGTGCCAAGAAATTGATTGACTGAATATTTGAATAGATATTCCTTAAATATATAAGGATGCAAATTTCCAAATGGAGCAAGTAAGCACAATGATGCACATTTGTGATTATTAGGTTTGTACATTGCATTTGATATAGCAGCTTATCACTTCATTGAGGAGTCTCAAAATATGCAATTGGGAAAATTATGCAATAATGTAAAATGCACAAGTATAATTCATAATAGACGTTACGTTTACAGTGCCCTTCACATTAGGAGCAAGTCTCAAAATGCTTCACAGGATTTACGTGTGTAGTTTGTCAGGAAATGTGCAGGCCAAATTTGTTCACAGCAATGTTCCTTAAACATCAGTGAGGTGAATGAGCAGTTATATTTAAGGGAATGTTGACCAGGACAGAGTGAGAAACTCCTTTCTCTTTTTGTAAAGTGCATTTGGATCTTAAGCTCCCACCTGAACACGGCACAGATAGGACCTCAGTTTGATATCTCATCTGAAGAATGTTACCTCTGACAATGCAGAACACCTCTGGCACCGCAATTAATTGTCACCCTTGATGATTGAATTCAATGCCCCAACTAGGGCTTGAACCCACAACCTTTATCTCGGAGGCAAGAGGCCTACTAACTGAGCCATGCTGATACACAGCAATTATATAAATGGCTTGTGGAAATTGTGCATATTTAGAAAATTTGAAGGTGAAAATTATGCACAAATTGCATAAGATTGCAAATAATATTCAACGTGTTAGTGACATCAAAACTTAAAATGGGCAAATCACATCAATTTGCAAATTATACACTTGCAAATAACATGAGCAAAGCGCGAAAATAAGCAACTATATTAATACAAATTACCAGTTTGCCAAAGTGAGCAAGTTTCACAATCGAGAATTCTGTAAGTGTAGATGGTGTAAACATTTATAGTGATATGGAAACACGCAAGCACAATTTGTACAATTACATGTAAAGTGACCATGTGAAAATTATATCATAGGCAAACCCAGTTAATTCGCCACAGCAATGTTCCACAAACAGCTGTGAAGTGAATGACCAGTTTTGCCAAATTTTAAATTTATTCATGGGGTTTGTTGGACACCTAGAGACCTTGTCTTTTCCAAAAGTGCAGCAGGATCTTTAACATTCACCTGAACAGGTGCAGACCAGATCTTGGTTTAACGTCTCATCTGACATGATGTGAGTTGATATAACGATGTCACCTGAAACTGCAATTTGTACCTATAAAAACACAGGTTGTATATAAAAATATAAAAATATAAGGTTGTCCCCTTACGCCGGAATATTGTGAGTCACCGCTGTGTATAAACTGTATATCAATGACCTTATTGAGGTGGGATTAAAGTCGAGCCAGATCTTTGGTTTGACAGGGAGCAGATCCATTGGATGTCCTACAGAATGTACCTCAACACTTGTGGCCAGCAGAACGGTGGATTATCATTGAGGTCCTGGACAGCGATGGTGACTGTGGTGAATGCTGTCTGCGTGCCTGTCAGCAGGGCTGTTTGACTTCCTTCTTCAATTTCAACAACCCATTCCAGGAAGAGTCGGTTTCTCTGTTCAGTCGCTGTGCCACCTGCAGCAGCCCTGACTCTGCAATGCAAAGCTACAGGTTATCGCCCTCCAGCCAACACGCCACACTCCCCAGTTACCTGCTGATACTCCCCTGTAAATGCTGGTTATACAATCGTCCTAGGTTGGGGAGGTTTGACAAGGCTGGATTTAAATCCTCCCTCTGTGGCGGCCTCTAGTCTGGGTCTGCAGTACTCCAAGGAGCTGCTGATGACAGCCAAGCCCAGTCTGCTTCATTGACAGGACTTGTTAGGGACGATCAGTCACTGAGAGCAGGGATTCTTCCCATTCGGGAAGCCTGTTAACCCTGCAAGCCAGAGACTTAATGAGTAAGGATTGTCTGAGATGAATCAGCAGCGGGAAATTTGTCAGACTGTGCTTTCAATGGCAAGCTGTACGATTTCACTTGGTCAACCTCGGGGATTCCCACAAGCCTTGGCTCTTGTTAATTTGCGTCTAATACTCTCCGGAATTAGATAAGCAGAGTGCGCCCCTCCGGGTAGAGAGTACTCACTCCATTCTAGCTACAGGGCAATGTCTGGGTGGAATACAAAATAGCAATCCTTGCATTTGAACAGGATCTTCATGCCATGGGAACGTCTGCAAAGTGCTTCACACTTTGTAGGCAATTTGTGCAGAGTGTCCCACAAATAGCTATGAACAACAACAAAATTACATTTGTATAAGTGAGTGACCAACGTTATTTGGGGGATTTCCAGGGCACTCCCTTCACTTCTTTCAACTGAGTCACTATTGCAACTGAATTAACATCTGCCTTAAAAGCAGACCTTGGTTTAATGTCTATCTGTAGGACGGCATCATTAAGAGTGCAGCACTCGCCTGCACCAGCCTGGAGCGTCAGCCTGGACTCTGAGTTTAATGTATCTGAGTTAATTTGGATGTATGGGTTGCCAATGCTATATATCAAGCTGCTGAATCCAACCACCATCATACTGACCCCACGCTGTGACTGTAGCCACCACGAAGCTGGCTACCTCATCCTCCCACATACCAAAGGATACTTCAGTCTTGACACACACACAGGCTGGCAGATGGCACCAAGCACAAAATGACTGTAACACAGACCAGGCCTTTATATTGTCCGTTTGCTTCAGCTGGGCTGGGGTAGGTTGGGCCATGTTGTGCTGGACTGGGCCGATCACTGTCCCACACTGGGAGAATACATGAAGGGATACTCACAGGTTGAAGATGGGAGAATTGTCATTGATGTTGAGGATAACGAGCCTGAAATTTGCAACCGCTGAGAGTCCCATGGAGTCACTCATCATCACTTGCACCACATGCCTGGGAGGCATCAACAACTATGTGTGTTACTTACTAACAATCTGAGCCAACAGATTGAATAGAAATCCAGCTCATTCAACCCAACCCAGGCCAAAAAACATGCCAACCAAGCCCAGACCCACCCAAACTGAGACCCTCCCAACCCAGGCCATCCAAGCCCATTCCAGGCCAGCTTACCTGTACTCAGCTTCACTCTCATAAACCAGTGTTGCTTTGAGAAGAATCTCCATGGGAATAATGCCCAGCAGTAAGGTAGAGTTGACAGAAAATTTAAATGAAGGAAACAGATTGTTCTGAGGTGCATGAAAATTTCTATCACAATACAGAGGCTCCAGGTTATAAA